ATTTCCAAGATTCAAGTTAAAATGTCCTACGACAAAAAAATTTCTAGAAATAGGCCGATATTTTGTAAATTTTTTTTTTAATGTCTAAGAGGCCACAGATTTGATTTTACGTACAATTGAAAATCTCTTAGAATTTTTTTTTAGATTAAAATATTTAAAAAATATATAGCAAATAAACTTTTTTAGAATAAGTAGTTTTTAAAAAATCGACGAGTGTTTTGTTGGTTTTTGACATTTTTTGCAATTTTTTATAATTTTTGGTACCTGAAAACTTCACAGAGCTTCAGATTTGATTGGAGCTTATGGAAAATCGTCCTAAAAATTGAAATCCGTCGTTGTTTTTCGTCTTAGAGTTATAGTTTCCGCAAAAATTCATTCAAAATCTTGAAAATAAAAATTTGACATTTTTCAATTTTTTCAGACTTAAAATAGTAAACAATGAGTCAAAATGTAGCTTTTGTAACATAAAAATGTGCGAGAAATACGTTGCTACAAATTAAAATGTTCTGTGACAAGTAGTTTTGGAGAAATCAGCCCAATTTGTCGATTTTCGACCACTTTTTTCTGGTCAAGAGCTCAATAATCTATTGTATTCTACGAAAGATCACATGTTATTATTTTTTTAACATTTCAATGTTACAACATGAAAATTAAACCAAATTCTTGAAATAATAACAAACGAGAAAACTTTTAGAGTAACTCTTCACATAACTCCTTTGGGAGAACCCCTCAATAAAAGATATGTTTCGAAAAGCAAACTGTCCATTRCTAAACTTTCAGAAGGAGAATATTCCTTCGGTATTAAATTTCCTTTGAACCGAAACTTAAAGAAACTGTCCTTTGCCGACTACAAAATTTCAATTTTGTCATAAAATAACAAAGACGATAAGAGCACCAATTTCTTATCTAACAGGGAAATAAATAAAAAAACAGATTAAAAAATAAATGTAATCTAAAGCCCACTAAACAAATAATATTTAATTTCCTCAATAGGATTGTTCCAAAGCGGCTCATGAGAAAAGCCGAAGCTAATTGGCAAAATGGAATCGTCATTAATTAGAACGAGCGACTGAGAGGTTTCCTTCCATTCATAGAACCCTCGGTAACTGTTGCTTTGTGAAATGCAACAGCCAATAGTCTAATATAGATGTATCTCTTAGGACTCCCTTTCACTCCTTTATCTCCTCACTTAGCTATGTTTCAGTACAACACAAAGAAACTAAACACTTTACCTCACCAATTATTTTTTTTTTCTCTATATGTAACACTGTTCATTAAATTTTCAGGAAATTTCAGGTGGCGAAAAAGAGACTCGAACCCTCTGGAATTTATATTGGCTAATTTTCATATTTTGCGCAAGAAAGCTGCAACAGCAGGATAGTATTTGTAACACTGCGCAATTTAATTTTATCTCTGAAGGTGGCTTCATGTAATTCAGTTACTCACGCGACAAAGTAATGRMGTTTGCGTCTTCAAATAAAAATCTACCAAAGAAATTTAAAAAAAAAGTTTTTGCCCCACAATATGTGGGTTTAACACAATAATCTAGGTTCGTTAACCGTTTCCGCCACGAATTGAGAATAGTTCAAATGAATTTCCATAATTATGCTAAAGTTTTGCCAACATAGTTGAAAACAGCGGCTGTTAGTCCTGACATCAAATTACTGTTTATTATCACGACCACTTCTAAACATACTTTAAAGTTTCTAAAATAAAAAATAAAACCTCAGCTCGACTTCTAAACTTTTAACATTGAATTATGTAACATTAGAACAAATTTTCAATTCAAAAAAATTGAAGTTTCCGCTCCTGAAAACATCCTTCCGTTTCAGATTTCAGTGAAATGCTGAAACTTCGTCGCACATCACCATCACTCCTTAAAACAATATACACATTTCCAYCACATGTTACGAAGTCAATATCAGTTATCGAAAAGTGTCGATGCTATCCTAAGCCACCCCAACTTCGTTATGATTTTTTATTACAGTGAAATATTCGATTCTTCTTCTTTTATTATTGGACGGTGAACTTTGATAGGGCGTTAAAGCCAATTTCCACATCGGCGCTTTTCCCACATATGAGTGATGGAAATGACATTACAAAAAACTCCACTTATCATGAACAGCAAAATAAGAAAAACGCGTTTCTCCTTTTATCGTGATTTTTTTTGATTTTCACTCAATATAATTCAACGCAGTAAAACAAAGATTGATATTCCTGAAAAACCTAAAGACAATTCTGGAACATCACTGAAAAACCCGAAATTCACACATGGCATTACTTGACTTGTGGTTTCAGAAAAACTTCAATTTATTTTTAAAGTTGAAATGTCCTACGACAAAAAAGTTTCTACAAATCGGACAATATTTTGT